GAAATGGGAATCCCTCCGCGGTGTACCCGGAGCGGCTGCCTTCGCTGGGGAAGCGACGGTGTCTTCGAGGAAACCGGAAGACCGTGGTGACCCCTGGCGACCCGGGTTGTTCTCGGTCCGTTTCCGAACACACGGGAATCGAAACTCGGCGGCCCTGCGCGGCCTGTCTTCGGGGTGAGTGACTCGCTTTGGCCGGGTTGGGGTCGCGGGCAGCGCCGGGACCAACCGCTGCTGCTGCCGTCCCGAGGAGACACGTCCTTTCCTACGACTAGGGCGCGGCCCAGCCCCGGGCATCCCCTACCCCTGCCGCCCTCGCACCCAGCTGTTCCGGGCCCATCTTGGTCCTTCGCTTTACTTATCCTTATTTTCGTTCCGGGCTCTGATTTAGGGGGGCACCTTCAGTTTTATTTCATTCACTGAGACTGCATTTATGTGTAAAACGAAAGAGGTACGCGAGGCTAGGACGGTACTGCCCGGGGCATCCGAGCAGTGGGCTGACCCCCTGCGCGTCGCCGAGGCTCGCCCTGGGCGCTCGTCGGTTCTCCGGTGTCTAACCCGAGCCTTGTACGGTCTTCGATCTTTTGTTGAGTGACTGCTACCTGCAAGGTAGGTGAAGACCCCCGTCCCTACAAACAGGGAACTCAAATACGCAAAAGTGAGGTAAGATACTCGCGAAAACTGCAATACAAATGGAAACAAATTGCTCCAGGATTTGTTGCTAGAAATATGCTAATAAAAGACAGTGACCTACAACGATTGAAACTGACCCTTGCCTTTTAAGCGTAGAAAACGCTTTCTTTTTTATTTGTGTAATTTTAAATTGGATTGAGCAAGATCACATGGCATAATTTAAATTCCAGTTCTCTAAACATGCCATATCTCATTTCCCAACCTGTTGTGATTACTCACCACGACATTTGTAAATTAGTTGTGCCTCCCTCACAGGGTTATTAAAATTTTTTAATGCGATATTGTTTCTAAAATGGGAAGTTGTATACAAATGTAAAGTTTTAATGTTAAATAGTATAGTGTCGTGGGAAATACGCTGGATTAAGTCAGGACATTCACTCAGGATCTTAGTGCTGATTTTTCTGCTCATTCGCTTGACACTGGGTAAAAGATTAAATCTCCTCTTCATTTTCTCTCTCAAATGGTATTTGAGGCTTACTCTTCAAGGTACCAGAGCATAGTTTCTAAGAGTTTTGCTAGCTCTGGAGTCAACTGGCTGATTTTCACTACTGGCTTCCACATTTTCTGGCCTTCGCCTGTCTCAGTTGCTCCACCTGTGATACGAAGACTCTCTTGCCCACCTCAGACGTCTTAATGTCGATTTAATGAATTAAAAATAAATGAGATAATTTCTCTCAAAGGCAAAGCATATTGCCCGACATACTATAAACACTTGGTAAATATTAATTACCAACACAATGTTGTCATGATTAATAAAATGTTATGAAGTTTTTCATAATTCATGAAGTAACAGCCAGTGTGGTATTTACAGTGTGGATTATAATTGTCATATCACTATTAGACAATACTTATTGCTAATACTAGTAACATTCAGTGTACATAGGTGCTTAATGACATTGAGATGTATTACTTTATGAAAGGAATGAAAAGAAGTAGAATGCTCTTTATACCTATGCTAACCCTGAAAAAATCTTGATTCCCTGGCCATACAAACTGATTTCTGGACTGACACAGTGGGATAACTCAATGAGGGTTATAAAAATGAGATTTTCATACTGTATATCTGATGCTAACATTTTTGGACACTCACTGAGATACAGGGCATTTCAGTGCTGAGTTACATAGATTGAGTTGACAGTATCTTGAAAAAAGGCACTTGATGATCCCTTCTTTATAAACTAGTTAGGCCATTCCTGCCTCTGATTATTTCATTAAAAATAGAGGAGGAGTGTTGCTTCTATAAGACTTAATTCTTGCTCCATAGTACCTTGACTAACCATATGAAGGGATATTCTGGCTTTTCAGAGGTAGAAACATGATGGAAATGCTAAGCGAAATAAGCCAGTAAGGGAAAGACAGATACCAATGATCTCACTGCTATGTGGAATGTAATGAACAAAATAAACTGACAGACAAAATAGAACCAGAGGCATGGATACATGGAACAGACTGACAAATGTCAGAGGGAACCGACCCGGTGGGGGTGGGGGCACCACTGGATGAAGGCAGGTGAAGGGATTAGCTAAAGAATATATATGCATGGCCCATGGTCACAGACAGTAGTGTGGTGAGGGCCAAGGAAGGGACAGGGGCTGGAAGGAGGTGGGCAAAGGGGGGGCAAAATGGGGGACATATGCAATATTGTCAACAATAAAATTTTTTTAAACAAAAGAGGCAATGTTGAATAGAAAAAAGTAACAAACAGGTCTTGACTTAAACCCTGCCTCCGTCACATACTACCAGTGATTACAGGCAAATTTTCCTCACCTCTTTGAGCCTCCATTTTCTTATCTGGTAGTGATAATACCATTCTAGCCAAGTTTGGTGTGGTAATGTGTGTACTGTATACCTTTTATTCAGTTCCTGGCAAAAATGTGAATTCCCTTCTATCTCAAGGTTGCCGTTCCATATTCAGATTAAAATTTTGCCTTCACAATTTAGGAAGGTGGCATCTTAGTGATGTAGTTCAACCCTGTCATTTTATTGGTGGGGAAATTTAGATCTGGGGATGTAAACTAAAAATGAAGGCGTCAGATTATATACTAGATCTAGACTTCTGAATCTCAGGCCAGGGTTCTTTCTACCACTGAGCTCTGTCTCGTCCAGATTATTTTGGGGAAAATCAGAATCCATGTCATGTTGCCTGTCAGAATGTTTTATTAAGAGCTTAAATTGCGCCTGGCTGGGTAGCTCAGTTGGTTGGAGTGTTGTCCCCATATGCCAGGGTTGGCGGTTCCATGCCGTCAGGGCACGTGCAGGAGTCAACCCATGAGTACATGGATGGGTGGAGCAACAAATAGTCAGTGTGTCTCTCTCTCTTTCTCTTCCCCTCTCTCTCTCTCAAAAAAATAAATAAATAAAAAATTTTTTAAAAATCAAAATTAAATTTTAAAAAAGAGCATAAATTTGGAAGACAGCTATCTGGGTTCACATCCCAGCTTTGCCACTGATTACTCATGTAGCTGTAATTAAAGTATTTAATTTTTCTAAGACTTTGTTTATAGAGTAATAGTACTAAATAGAAAAATCACTTGGAAGCACTGGTGCCTGACTTATGGTAAGTAAGCAATAAATGGTAGATACTATGATGATGAATATGAGAAGATAATCACATTTACTCCTAGAAAAAGGACCAGTCTGGTGTCAGAAGATATTTCTGTATTTTCTAGTGTCTCATACCCCAGCATATATAGCATACTCAACTGAGGGTCCTCTCGATGTTGACTGTAGTGAAGACTGAAATTTAAGATTTTCTGAAATAATTCTGATAATGTTTGAATCATTTTTTCTTTTCTTTATGTCCCTCCCCTAGCCTCAGGAACTACTGTTCTCTTTTCTATATACCTGATCTGGCAAATTGTGCCCTTCGTCCTACATTATTATTACAATATTGTGACTTATAAGAAATATATATTTGGTCATTCAGGTAACCAAAATAATATTTCTCATATATATTTGGTCTTCATGGCTCCCCAAATCCTTGGAATTTCCTGAAGGATACAAGCAATGAGAGCATCTTTTGTCATAATACAGGGGTGGGCAAAATTAGGTCTATAGTTGTAATACAAATAAATAATACAATAATTAATAAATAATGCAAGAATAAACTGTTTTGGGGGACTCAAGACTGTAAACCTACTTTTGCCCATCCCTGTATTTGGTCTCATCCTCAATTCCTGAAATCACATCAGAACCATAAAGGTGAAATGGGTATCTTATTTATAACAAGCCCCTTCCCACCAGGCCTGAGTTTATGTTAATGAGATGACTTTTGGACAGCACCTGAGGATGGTGGCTGCTTGCCAGGAGAACCACCCATCTGATTAGAGGGTTGGAACTTTCAGTTCCACAGTCCCCAGGTAATGAAGAGGGGCTGGAGGTTAAATCATTTGCCCATGATGTAATCAATTATGCCTGTTATGTAATGAAGCCTCCATAAAAATGCAAACAGGAGAGGGGTCAGAGAGTTTCCACGTTGGTTCATCAGAACACAACCATGTGTCACTGTGCTGGCCTCAAACTTCAGGAAGACAGAAGCTCCTTCTTTTGGAATCTTGTCCAGTAGATCTCTTCATTTAGCTATTGATTCATATCCTTTAATTTTTAGGACAGATAAGCAGTTTTTCTGCTGCCTTCCAGTGCATTCCATATCATGTTTAAAATATATAGAATAAATACATAGAGATGATATAAAACTTGAAAAAGTTCTTATGCAAATAATTTTTTTAAATTTAGAGAGAGACCACCGTATGCAACTTTATGGTTATCTATAAATAAAATAGGCATCAGATACATAAACCAGCCCGAGTACTCATTTTTCCTAAAAATGACCAGTTATCATACTGTGTAAAATGTGACATTGTTGTATCAATATACCTCCTTCCATCTAAAGTACTTAACAATATTCCACAGGGTTTCTAGTTTTTATAGTTTTTGATGAACTTAAGTGTGTAAAAGATTCACTGAGGAAGAAAAAATACTAATAGGTTCTGAAACCCAGGTGCTTGTGCTGCTTAGTAATTATCTGGTTTTGGCTAAGCTTCATAACCTTTCCAGGTCCTGGTTTTCTTATCTGTGAAATGGGTATAATAAGATTTTCTACTTTACAGGGTCATCATGAAAATTAAATGGGATATTTGTAAAACACTTAGCACAATACTAAGTAATTCATTTTGTTGTGATATATTTTACAAATGTTGTGTAATTATTCCTCATCGTTTTTTGAATCGTGTCCAGATGTAAGAACCAAATTCTGTAGTCATCTACCTATCATAAAGAACCATCACAGTTTGTCTCCATTCTGTTTTTCCAATTTTATCTCTTGCCATTCCTTTACTCATCCTTTCTCCCCACACTCTTTCAGGCCTTTGAACTTGTTCCCCCTGCTGGAATTTAGGAAACAGTTAAGGTTTAAGTACAGTAAGTATAATGAAAGTAACCACCCTCTTCACCTAAGAGAACAGGGTTAATTAAGAGTCATTTGATCTTGCCCTGGCCTGTGCGGCTCAATTGGATGAGCATAATCTCATGCACCAAAAAGGTCATGGATTCAATTCCTAGGATTCAGGCTCAT